AAACCCATACGAGCAAAGTGGTATATACAAATTAACTTGCCAAAGTTGCCATCAAGTATACATAGTCCAAACAGGAAGGAAATTATCAACATGATATAGCGAACACATAAGGAACATAAGATTAAATAGAGATGAATCCGCTTACGCCCAACACATACTAAACAATCGTCATCAATACAGACCAATATCAATGGTCATGAAAATCATCGAAAAAGCTAACAAGGCTAATATAATGAACAGGAATTCCAAATGTATTACTACAACAAACACAATAAACTGATAGATGAACAGAAACAAATAAGGAAAACAAACAATCAAAACAACATGTTTGACCTTATTATACATCACTTGAACACACCCTCTTCAACGTCATAAATACAGGAAGAATATAATACGAGACACACCACTATTCAAAACAGTACAAATGACACAGCACGCATGTAAAGTACATGACTAATAATAAGGTAAGGCCTAACTAGACACTTTAATAAACCTAAAAGCATTATATATAACTATATAAGATAGAATCAAATAAAAAATGAATATAATAATATATTTACAGAACATACAGTCAAGAGAAATAAATGACATCTCCCACCATCAGGAGGAAAACAACATGACCCAATGTTGGCTCATGATATTTTAACAGAATAACAAATTTTTTACATACAGAAGAAAATTTTAATACAATTTTACCGTATGGAAAAGTGAACATCATCACGTGCAGTGGAAAATCCCTAATCAGAATACCCAGCAAATACGCTTAAAAGAAATAGCATCATATGTAAATCTACACTTCAAGAGGCGTCATCATGAATGCCCGAGACAGACATCAAAACTAACTGTGTTAACAAAATTTATATAGTGAGCATTATTCATGGCTTAAGTGCATATTATTAAAACATCTTATGTGACAGTGTTTCCTGATCGTAGTGGTGTGCCTCTGAGGATGATTCTTTTGAATCGAAACATGTAAGGTGAATAAAGACTGAAGTGTTGTAAACTTGTACGACCTCGTATGTCACACTGGACTGAAAATTATCCACTTTGTTATATATGGCAAACTTGCTTTTAAAATTCTAGTGGAAATTTCATCATAACTTGGTCTTCAAAGATTTGATTATCTTTCTAATCTCAGTAGTTGAGACATAATGCCATTTGATAGATTTAAAAGTAGACGTGTATTTATTGCCCAGATAATATAATGGATTGATATCGGTTGGAGTTTTGTTATTGCTTAAATCATCTATAATTGTCTGAGTTACTGAGATAAAGTATTCGTTAAATACATTTGCAATGCACTTATTATTATGTATCATAATATTATTGACTTTCAATGATTGGGGTTCATCCTTCTGAGTTTTAGATCCAATCTCTTTTTTAATAATTGACCATGTAGTTCTTATTTCATTATAAGATTTTGAAATTTTATTATCATAGTGTACTTTCTTAGCCTCTTTAATAACTTTAGTAAGTACTTTACAGTATTTCTTATAATACAGTTTGAAATGTGGATCGTCATCTTGTATATATTTAAGATATAACTTCCTCTTTTCTTCCACAAGAAATCTGTATCCGTTGAGTCGTCCACGGGTTGCATTTAAGTTTGGAAGTAATAATTTTTTTTAGTAAACCATGAGTAAAAAATTCTTAAGTAAGTATTAACAAATACATTAAAAGTACTGTTTACGTTGTCATTTGTAAAAACATCACATCGTAGTTCATAGCTTAGCATTTCTTGAAATTTAGTTATGTTATAATTACTATAATGTCTCATGTACTGAGGATTACCTACTTGTTCAGATGACATTATGTTATCAGTTATTATCATCTGAGCATCATGATCAGATAGTCTGTTAATTATTGGTTTGATTGTATAATTTCTAGTCTTTTTTTATATATATGTTGTCGATAGCTGTTCTTGATACCTTAACAATTTGTGTTGGAAAATTAATCGTACCTATTAGATTGTATGTATTTAAAAGTGCATCAAGTTGTTGCCTTCTATCACAATTTTCTAAATAATTTATATTTACATCACCACATATAACATATTCAACTTTATTATTATGTAGCTTATTCAAGATGGTATCCAATTTTTGCAAAAAAATTGTTGAAGTTTCCAACAGGTAACCTATAAATAGCTAATATGATCATGATACCAGTCAGGCTTAATTTGATTGCACAGGCTTCAATGTCCTTTTCCACACAATAGTTAAACACAGATACAGAATTAAATTTAATTGAGTTGTAAATATATATGCATACACCTCCATTTTTGTATGTTGATCTACAATAATTGGCCCCTAATACATAATTATCTGCACATATTTTATTTATTTCATATTCTTTTAAATGGTGTTCAGTCAAACATATTATATGAGGTGGATCAAATAATAATGAATTTAACAGTTGTTCAGTTTTATCAAATAATCCTCTTATATTCTGATGACATGCCTTCAGAAAATGAGATGTAGATTGATTAATTTTCCCTTGATTTAAGTTGGTAGTATTAGAGTTAGCAATCTGTCCATTATGATTTTTGCCACAATTTTTATCTCCACTTTTAGGGAACTTGTGAGCTAAAGCCGATACTTATTTATTTTTGGTTCATACCTTAACCCTCCCATAAAAAATCCAATCTCCTATTCACAGGTTTTCTCCTGTTACATTTAACAGGGGTGTTGTCTAATTCAGTGACAATCAAACCTTCTATGTTCCTGGGTTGACCATTTCTCTTCCCACCTGTAATGAGTCCTTAGGTTTCATAAAGAGCAGTTATGTTATTTCTGTACTTCCACAGGGACCACAGGTTTCTCAGGAAGGTCCCTGCATTATGAACTTAACACTTCCTAAGATTATGAAGTGCGTGGAGAAGAAATCTATACAGAGCAGCTGTTATGGGTTAGATGTAATGAAAAACAGCTACAGCAAGGAAACCATATATTGTTTCATGTATGGTGTTGTACAGCCATGACTGACAGAAGATGTAATGCCTTTACAGAACTGTTCAAATTCAGAGAAGTTTTTAGTTGGTCCATATGGTGAGACATACCCAACACCTCATGATGCAGATCAGACCATGAATGTAAAAGCTGAGGCAGTCTCAGATGCAGAAGAGGAAGAGGATCCTCTCCCAATATCATTTCTAGAAATAAAGGCTGAACCTGAGGTGAGCTGTCTGCTTCTGTATGTCCACTGTTAGGCAGATATCACAGATAGG